CGTGATGGATGGCAATACGGTTGAAGTATAGGGAGGCGATGTCTGTGGCTGAACTAACATACTTGCATGGGAGAAAGTGAGCATGCTTAGTCAACCGACATACAACGACGAAGATGGCATCATGGCCTCGAGGGGTAGGGGGACGAAGAGGACCGATGAAGTCCATGGAGACAGACATCCAACGCTGAGTAGGAATGGGTAAGGGCTGAAGAAGACCGTAGGGGGGGTGGTTGGGAATGTTGGCCTCCTGGCAGATCCTGCAGGTGCGAACTTACTCCTTAGTGAAAGGATGGCGGTGCTCCCAGTAGTAATGGCGGTAGAGGCGGTCAAGTGTCTTGAAGACACCGAGATGACCGACGGCGCGCTGGTCATGACACTCAGCGACGGCCCGAACACGGAGTTGGCCAGTAGAGGGCACGCATAAGCGGGGAGTACGAGTACCTTGGCGACCAAGCCAATATAGGAGTCCAGAGGGATCAAGCTGGAAGTTAGGGACGGACTTGCCAGCCTGTAGGTCAGCGTAGATGGACTGAAACTCAGGGCACTGGGTGTATACGCGACGATACTCATCTAGAAAGGCGGGGTGGATGGTGGGAGCTGAGATAGCAGATAGCTGACGATCCTCGCACTGAAGGTCAGGGCGGCGGGATAAGGCATCTGCAACACGATTGCTTTCGCCAGAGATCTTCTTGATGGTGAAGTCGAACTCCGAGAGGTCACGCCACCAACGAGCTTGGCAAGAAGTGAGCTTAGACTTCGTCTGGAAGGCGGCAAGGACAGAGTTGTCCATCAAAACGATAAAAGTATGACCGTGCAAATGATGACGCCACTTCTTAACAGCGTAGACCAGCGCAAGGACCTCACGCTCGTCGGCAGTATAGTTACGCTCAGCGGGAAGTAGCTGTCGAGATAGATAAGCAACTGGACACTCTCCATCACGAGACTCGACTGTACCGTCATCAGCGACGTCAGGAATATAAGGGGGTGGGGCCCCTGGGGGGGTGGGCTCGATGGGTGCAAGATGAGCCGCAGTCCCTGGAGGTGGAGGAGGGAAGCGAGGAATACGAGGGAGGCGGGAATCTGTGGAATCAGGAGGAGTAGAGGGGGTTGGGTAGATCTGGGAGAGAACAACTCCAATAGCGAAGTCGGATGCGTCGGTGGTGACGATGAATGGACGCGAGTAGTCGGGTAAGTGTAAGAAAGGAGCTGACGTGACAAGCCGCTTGAGAGAGCGGAAAGCATCCTCGTGAGCCGAGGTCCAATGAAAAGGTAGATGTCCACGAGTCAGAGGGGTAAGCTGGGAAGAATACTGCGCGTAGTTTTTAAGAAAGTGACCATAGTAGTTGGTCAACCCAAGGAAACTACGCAGCGCAGGAAGAGAAGTAGGAGTGGGCCAGTCGACAATGGCCTGGATCTTCGAGTCGTCCATGTGAAGTCCGTGCTCGGAGACCTGATGCCCAAGGAAGTCGACTTTGGGTTGAGCGAAGTGGCATTTTGAGAGCTTCGCATAAAACCCATGGTCGCGTAATCGCTGGAGGACAGTGCGAAGGTGGGTCAGATGCTCCTCTAAGGTACGACTGTAGACTAGGATGTCGTCGATGTAGACTAGAACCGAGTTCTCAAGGAGGTCGTCGAACATCGTGTTCATAGCCATCTGGAAGGTGGCAGGGGCATTACGGAGACCGAAAGGCATGACGGTAAACTCGTAGTGCCCAAAACGAGAACGGAAAGCGGTCTTAGGCTGGTCCTCCTCGACTACGCGGATCTGGTGATATCCGCTACGAAGATCGATCTTCGTGAAGAAGTGGTGGCTGGAGAGGCGGTCGAACAGATCATCCGCACGGGGCATAGGATAACTGTTTCTGATCGTATACTCGTTGAGACCGCGGTAATCGAGGCAGAGGTGGAGAGTGCCATCCTTCTTGCGATCGAAGAGGGCAGGTGCACTCCATGGGGACGTACTCGGTTTAATGAAGCCCTGACGAAGAAGCTCGTCAATTTGGCGTTTAAGTTCCTGGGCTTCGGGAACCGAGAGGCGATATGGGGCGCGATGCTGAATACGGTAGTTAGGTTCGAGCCGGATGTGGTGCTCGATATCGCGCATAGGAGGGATGCTGCTATAAGAGACAGTCGGAGGAAAAACATCGCGATACTCGCGAAGGAGGGCCGCAACGCTAGGCTGCAAAGTCGATAAGAGGGTGTCAAACTCCTCGGCTGCAGCGGCATCTGAAGCAGGGGTGGAAGGAGTCGGTATGGGAATAGGTACCGATGGCGCCTCCGTGGTACAAGATGCAAGAAGGTGAGATGAGGTAGCAGAGGTGAAGGGGGATGAGGGGGCTGAAGGATCAGGAGGCTCGGGGGGCTCAGGGAGTGGTGGGTCGAGCTCGACCAACTCAGCGTCCTGATGCATAGAGGTCCGTGATGTCGACAATGTAGAGTTCGGCATCAGGCTGACGAAGGATGTGGTGGAACTGATTTGGT